GGGTTTAGGGCTTAGGGCTTAGTTTGGGCTTGGCTTCCTTCATGGATTCTTTTCTGGGGTTCCCCTCAAGGATCGCTGCAAAGGCTTCTATTTAGCACAGGGGCCCTATTCAAAAACATGAAGGGGGCTTGGGGTTGCATTGTAGTAATTATGGTTCAGTAGAGCTAGTTTCAGGGCCCCCAAAGAATAATCCTACACAGTTTGTTCAGGCCCTATCTCACGAATCCCTAAACCCTCTTCGCACCGTCCTCCCAGTATTCGGTCACCGCGTCGCGGAGGTTAACCTGGAGATCTTCCCCGGAGGGGTCCATCGAGTCGGTTTAGGTCTTTAGGGGTAATGTAGGGGCCTTAATAATTAGAATAGAGTGTCGGGGTATATTATACTATAATTATAATAAGGACCCCCCAAAATAATATAGGTAATTCAATTGTTTAGGCCTCTACATAAGTGGGTTTTGGGGTTTAAGGTTTGGGGCTTAGGGTTTAGAGGGCTTCTATGGGTTGACAAGTTGGTATGAGGTGTCACTGCGTTCTTCTATGGTGCAAAACGGTGCTTTAAGCGGGTGTGTGATGCGGGTTCCATAGATCCGAACCTCGCGTTGGGGCTTAGGCCCTAAACCCTAAACCCTAAACCCTAAACCATCCGAACAGCCCCGGGCCTTCTGAAGATCCTCGCTGATCTTGTCACGCTGCTGATAGGTGTTCTTGATGCTCGTCTTGAGCTTCGCGACGTCGGCCTGCGCCGTGAGGCTCGAGGGCTCTGGGTTTCTGTGCTGGGGTTTGGGGTTAGAGGACACCCCTAACCCTAAGCCTTCCTCCCTAAACCCTGAACCCTAAGCCCCAAACCCACAGCCCCAAGCCCTAAGCCGGGTACCTTCGGAGCTTCAGGGACTGGGTTTGCGGTTTAGGGTTTTGGGTTTAGGCTTTTGGGTTTAGGGCTTAGGGCTTGGGGTTTAGGGTTTAGGGCTTAGGGCTCTGCGTTTAGAGCTCCGACGGAGAGATTTGGAGAAAAATCCCTGAGTCCGGTGCAAAGGCAGCACTGAAACGTTCCTTTAGGGTTTAGGGTTTAGGGTTTAGGGCTGTTTATCGGGGGCCATGCCTAGACCGACGTATTACCCTCTAAGCCTATTATAGCCCTGTCCAACCTTTATAATACCACACACAAACACACACAAGCCTAAACACTAAACCCTTAATACAAGCCTCCAGCTTCTCCACATTGTGATGCACGGCCCGAAATCGGCTCTGCTGCTTCTCCTAGGCTGTCCGGTGACCCACTGGGAAAAAAGGCCTAAACTGTTTGGGGGTTGTTTGTTGAGTCCCTGCTTCTGGGTTAAGGGTTCAGGATTTAAAATCGGAGCTCCGAACCAAAAAAAACGTATACCACCGAACAAGCTAGTCTCGCGGTATTCCACGGCTTTCTCACGGCCCGATTTGGCCGTCTGCGCCCGGTCTCCTGAGGTGTCGAAGGGGGCGATTCGATGGGCTTGGCGTTTGGAGGTCTGGGTTTGTTTACGGTTCAGGCTTTAGGGTTTAGGGCTTGTAGGGTTGTTTTTTAAGGGTGTAGGGTTTAGGGTTTAGGGTTTAGGGCTTGTAGGATTTAGGCTTCAGGGCTTAGGGTCTAAAGTTTTAGGGTTTAGGGTTTAGGTAGGGTTTAGGGCTTAGGCTTCCAGGGCTTGGCTTGGAGGAGGCTTGGGACTGGCTTTACCCGGCACGCGGGTTCACGGTCATGTAAGTAGTTTTCTAAATTCGGGTCCCATTTTCCGTCCCCAATATAGTACGGCACTCTTATAACAAGGACCCCAGAAGGGACCCTAATTTAGCGAACTACCCATGTAGGGCTCTAAGACTTCAGCGTTCAATCGGAATTTTCGGGTGCAGGGGATGAGGGGCTAGGGCTCAGTAGCTTTAGCCATTATACACAGCTCCGGGATGCTTTGGGTGGAGGGTTTAGGGCACCCTAAAGCTTAAACCCTAAAGCTCCACACCCTGAACCCAGTTACCCTAAACCCTAAACCCTACACCCTAAACCCTAAACCCTAAACTGTTCTGAGGGGATCCTTCTCGTCTTCCCTGAAACAGTGCTGTAATCATGAACCCCGGAAACCTGCAATCCCACAACTCCACAGAACCCCAAAACCCTTAACGCCATAAGGCTGAAACCCGAAAACCCCAACTTAAAACAAAAACAATAGCAACAAAATGACTAGAAACCTCAGAGAACAATGAATCAAAAAAACTAAGCTGTTCAGTCGTGCGTCGCAGTTCTGAGAGCCTCTGACGCAAGAGGACCAGAGCTGCCGCCTCCTTCACCGCATCGTCCTAGGCGTCCAGGCACTCTGGCTTGCGAGGGTTCGGGTTCAGGGCTTACGGCTCGAGGGATTACTGTAAGGGCCTCAATAATTAGAAGAGGGTTTAAGCTCCATTTTGTATATTCACAACAAGGAGCCCTAACCATAATATTGGTAATTATTCAGGCTTCTATATTGAAAAAGGGCTTGAAATTTTCGGGGGCTTGGTTCGGGGTTTGCGATTTGAGGTCGGAAAGGCTTGAGGATTTAGGGCTTTGGGGTTCAGGGTTTGGGGCTTGAGGTTCGGGTTTGAAGTCTGACCGTTTGGGGGTTTGGGAGTTGCAGGGTTTAGCGTTTGAGGGTTTAGTCCAGGGTTTAGGGGCTTGGGGGTGCATGCTTCAGGGTTCAACGGTTTAGGGTTTGAGGATTCGAGGTTTGGGGTTCGAGGCTTTCTTCTGAGCCATTCTCTACTCTTCGTAGCTATTCCTCTCGCCTGTGAGAAGTTGTTGTAGCTCTTGAGCTGCTGCGAAACTCAAACTTGACTGTATGATAGCAACTGCAACTCCACTCCTGCAGGTGCCGGATTCCCGAGCTGTTCTCGGCTGGTCAAATCGTTGCAAAATGAAATTGCTTCGGGCCGGCAGTCCTTCATCAGAGAATCTCGTCGCATAAACGGCCATGATGCTCGAATTGCCCCGCCCCCCGCCCCCCCCCCCGATGCTCACGCGCCAGCACCCAGGCAGACAGGCAGGCAGGCACACAAGCAAAACAAGAAAATCGGGCAGACAGACAGACAGACCGACGGACGGACGGAGACCGCAGCAACAACACTCTCTGGGCAAGGTTGGGGAGGCTAGCAGCTAGCAGCATCTGAGGTTGGATAGGCAGCATTGCAGATGGTTTGCCCCCGCCTCCGTGGTAGGAAGGGTCGCTGGCGTTCCGCATTGGACTGACTCAGCATCTCCGAAAGGAAGTGCCTCAGGCACCAATGCTTACGCAAAGGATTCCGAAAGAAAACCAGACACATGGGCTCTCCAGAAAGACTGCAAAGACTTTAGGTCTAAAGCTTCTGCCAGCGACACACTTTCCACGTGTCATCTCTGCCGCTTAGTTCTAGAGTCCAGGGGGAAAACCCATCTAAACCCTATTTAAACCCTAAACCCTAAACCCTAAGCCTATACATCAGCGTTACTAATGGTGGTTGAATGTTTGAGGGTTGGGGGTTTGGTGCTTGAGGCTTGGAGGGCTTCGAGTTCAGGGTTTAGGGCTTGGCGGTTCAAGTCTTCGTGCGGCTTCGGGCTCCAGGGTTTAGGGTTTAGGGTTTAGGGGTTAAGGGCTAGGGTTTAGGGTTTAAGGGTTTGGGTTTGAGGTTTAGGGTTTAGGGGTTAGGATTTAGGGTTCAGGGTTCGAGCATTGGAGGGTTTTGGCTTCGGGGTGCGAGCCCGGTAGCACCAACCCGGAAGCTCCCACAACCCGAAGCAGCACAACGGCTTCTTTACTTCGCGGGGTTTGGTAAGCTTCTTCAGTTCTTGTAGTAAGGATCAGTCTTCCTATTTTGAGTCCAGAATTCCCCATGCTTCTGGAATTCGGAAGTACCAAGCCTCACGATGCCGTTTTGCTGTCTTCGAAATAATTTGAGCAACACGTCCCGTGCCTGGATTCCGCTCACTGATGCCGCTCCTTATACTTTACAGCTGTAGGGTCAACAAAAAACCGTGGTTAGCCCAAAACCCTGAATCCTAAACAACCCACAACCCTAAACCCTAAACCCTAAACCCTAAACCCTAAACCCAAACCCCTAAACCCCTAAACCCTAAACCCTAAACCCTGAACCGTGGAATCCCGAATGTAGAGCCAGGGCACTGGCATCTCAAGCTCCTCGTCCTCCGACTCATCTTCTGGCACACGGTGGAGAAAAGTTCAGGATTGGGGCCTAGCTACGAGGGGTGCCTTAAATTTGCGAGACCCTGTTGCAGTCTTAAAAAGCCTGCTCTTCTAGGTGCCTTAAAGCAGACACCTTGTTGAAGAACCCCTCCTGGACCCACGTGCTGGCTTCGCTCGCAGAAAAATAAGTGACCACGAAAGGGCTTCGCGCTTGGGGCGTAAACCCTAAACCCCTAAACCCCTAAACCCTAAACCGTGTGGGCCCAGAGCTTAGAGATTCCTTCATTGAGCGAGATTGGAAAGTATGGGATGTTCGGCTACGTATACCTTGAGCTCTAAACCCCAAGGCCTGACTGGAGTTTGGGCGTTTGGGGGTGAAGTGCTTGGGGTATGGGTTTCGAAGGGTTTGGGTTTCATGGCGGGAAGCTTCTCAAAGCTTTGGCTCATCCCTAAACCCGAAACCGTATACCCTAGACCTTAAACCCTCAACCCTAAACCCTAAACCCTGAACCCTGAACCCCTGAAACCCTGAAACCCTGAAGCCTAAACCCTACGTTTAATCCCCAAAACCCACTCGACCCGGCCGTTCGCAGTAACCTCGGAGTTGCGGCGGGCTTCAGGAGGGGAGACCCTCCATCCGACAGCTGAACCCAGGGGTTAAAGGTAAAAGGCCCCCAAAGCCTCTAAACCCTAAACCCTAAACCCTAAACCCTAACCCCTAAACTGGTGGCGTTTAGGATTTTGAGATATTTTGAGGCTGAGAGCTGAAGTTTTAGGGTTTCGGGCTCTGGCCGGTGACTTGGGGGTTTCGGGCTGAGGGCTTCCGGGTTTTGGATTTAGGGTTTTGGGTTTCAGGGGCTTTCCGGGTCTTTCGCGATGAGTGCTTTAGGATCGGAGTTTGGTGCAGGGTTTCGGGTTTACTTTGGTCTTTGGGGCTTGGGGTTTATGGTTTAGGGTTTCGGGTTTCGGGTTTATTTTGGTCTTTGGGGCTTAGGGTTTAGGGTTTAGGGTTTCGGGTTTATTTTGGTCTTGGGGCCATGCGCCTTCTGGGACCAGGACCATGTCTTCACGGCTTTCCCGCTTCCTTTTGAGCTCGGCCACAGCTGTCATGACCCTGGCGTCCTTGGATAAGAATCAAAAGCGAAGTAGAATCATCACAAAAATAGTAATAGTGACAATACTAATGCATGATGATTCAGGGCTTGCAGGTTTGGGGTCTAGAAGGCTTGATTTCACAGAGTTTCATACGTTTTAAGGTTCTTATTGAGGAACAAACCTGTAATGCTGTTATCTGCAGCGTCGCGCGGGACCTGTCCTGTGTCGCCTAATGGTGTTTGCTGTACAGGTTTCTGTGTTCAAGCTTCGCAAAAAGTTGCAGCATGGGATACAGGCTTCCGGGTTAGTGCTTGCAGGCTTTGGAGCGTCTTTTCATTGTCGCCGTATTTCTGAGGCGACGTATCAGCGACGGGAACGTTGCAACCGGCTTGAGAAACCGGGCCTCTCTCCCCTGAGCTACTAAGTAGATCCAATCCTCCCAATGTTCAATCTGTCAATTGTAAACCCTAAACCCTAAACCCTAAACCCTAAACCCAAACCGTCAATTGTAAGTTGGAGGAGGGAACCCTGCGATTTGACCTCCCATCGACTTCACCTCCACACGACTTGGTGCCGACATCGGCACAGCTCCATCCAAAGCACTTGGAGTTTTCACTGCGCCGCTAAACATGTAAGTTCGGTATATGCAACTCAACCGCACTTTGATATCCAGACCAAATCGAAGAGTCAACCACCCACCCAACCAACCAACCAGCCAGCCAGCCAGCCAGCCAAACAAACAAAACCAATCAACCAATTGATCCGTCAACCAAACAAACAAAACCAATCAACCAATTAATCAGCCAGCCATCAATCAATCGGCGAATCACGGACACGATCACTCGGTCACCCCTTTGGGCACGCGGAGTGGACGCCATCACGTGTATATGCAGACGAAGTACATTTATGAGTAACAGATCTGAAAAGTGGCAATCCACACAGAAACACACACACACACACACACACGTGGATGCATGTGTAAGTATGCATGCATGCTTGCACTCATGCATGCGTCTACGTATGTATATATGTATGTACCTGCTCACTCCTGTATCAGTATATGTGCAAGACTGCTTGTATCCTTTAACCCTCATGTGCGCCTGGTCGTAGGCCCTGCTCTAGTCATGAACCTCTTTTCTGCCACCAAGCATCTCCATCTCCATCTGCGAAGGACAGATTGTACAAGCCTTGGTTTAGAGTTCAAGGCTTTGGGGCTTAGGATAAAAGCCTTGGCACGGCGACAGCAGTCTGGCAAGTGGGTTTAGGGTTTAGACTAGGAGCCCGGAATATGGGAACATCATTAAGTTGAGAGCTTGGGGTTTCTAGACCAGTCGAAAAGCCTACTATAGGGGCCTTAATAATTAGAATAGGGTTTTGGGGCCCATTATACCCTATTTATAGCAAGGAACCCCCAAAATAGTACAGGCAATTATTAAGGCCCGTATAGTACTTGTATCCCAAATCCACAATCCAGACCTCCAGGCTCGGTGAGTTTCTGTGAGTTGACCCACCTTCGCTAAGCGGAGACCTCAGTGTTCTCGCCCAAACGGACCGCCCTGAACCCTAAACCTAAACCCCTAAACCCAAAACCCTAAACCCCCAAACCCCTAAACCCAGAAACCTAAACCTGAACCCAAAACCCAAAGCCCTAAACCATTTTTCTAACGTCATGGCTTCCTCTGCGTCTGTTCCTGCCACCAATCTACCTGCCTGCACGAGGATACCCGGCACGTCTTCCGATTTGTGCTGCTATTACTAGGACTGCTGGTCTGGGTACTGGTCCTAGTGGGAGTCCCTGAAAAAACTTGGGATCAGGGCTCCGACATAGGTGCCGGGGGGGATGGTAGGTATATGTGTGCGTGCGCTTCGCTTTGAAGCTGTAGGTTCGCAATCCGAAACCTTAGGTTGCTGAGATACCAGCTCGGGCACCCTAAGCCCTAAACCCTGGTGTGTTTCTTGGAAGGGTGGATTTGGGGACATTTGCTGGGCAGGAAACGCGAACCTACAGCTTCAAAGCGAAGCACACACACACACACACATATACCTAGCCCTAAACCCTAAACCCTAAACCCCTAAACCCGTAAACCCTAAACCTACAACAAACAAAGCGCCGAGCAGCTGAGGGCTTTCTCGTGGCAGATCTTCTTTGAACACTGGCCACACTTCGATGCTGCAAGCAGGCAGTCTCGGTGAAACCTGCTGCATGGATTCACCCGAAATGCTAAAACCCCAAACTCGAAACCCTAAACCCTAAACCCCAAGCTCGCAACCCTAAACCCGAGGCCCCAAAAACCTAAATCCCACACCCTAAACCCTATCAACCCTATGGAATTCTATAAATCCTCAACCCGAGGCGCAGTAGCTCAGGGCTTGGGATTCGGGAGGATGACGGCTTGCGTGTCAAGTTTCGGGTGAAGGACTTAAGGTTTAGGGCTTAGGGGTTAAGGTTTAGGGTTTAGGGTTTAGGGTTTAGGGTTTAGGCTTTAGGGCTTAGGGCTTAGGGCTTGGATTAAGGGTGTAAGGTTTAAGGTCAGGAGTTTAGGGGCTTGGGCCGTCGCGTTAGGATTTAGGGTGTCGGCCTTAGAGAGTTTATGCTCGAGGGTTCAGTTCTCCTATCTTCAGCTCGGGGCCGGGCTTCGTTGTTGAGTCCTTGAAAATTGCATCTCTATGCTGAACGGCTTAACGTTTAAACCCTAAACCCTAAACCCTAGACTCCCTAAACCCTAAACCCTAAACCCTAAGCCCTAGACCCTAAACCCTAAGCCCTAAGCCCTAAACCCTAAACCCTAGACCAGTTTAGGCGTGGACCTGCGAGACTTCACCCATATGAGCTCGCGAAATGCTTCGACGGCGCTCGGAGCTGATCTGCTGCAGCATTTTGATTTTAGGGCTTCGGGGTTTGGGGTTTAGGGTTTACGGTTTAAGGTTTAGGGTTTAGGGTTTAGGGTTTAGGGTTTAGGGTTTAGTGTTAAGCCTCCAAGCTGCATTCACGGTCTGT